GGTTGTAGGACTGAGATTAATCTTAAAACAGGAGTTAAAACTTTTAAAAATGATTATTTAAATTAGGAGATAAAATTAGGAAAATAGAAAAAATAAATTGGGTAAAAACTTACAAAAAATAGTATAACATGGTGGCCAAGAAGGCACTTTAGAAAATGCTTCTTAGAAGATGGGGGTAAAATCAGTGAGGAAAAAAGAAAAAAGAAGAACCAAGAATAGAAGCAAAGTACTTCCAAGAAGCCAAAGAAACAGGTAACATTTCAATTAGAAGTTGATTGGTAGTGTGAAATGGTCCCCAACATTATCAGTAAGATGGGTAGAGAACTGTTGTTTTTGGTAAGTAGAAGATTATAGGTAACTTTTGAGAGAGTAGATTTGGTAAAAGGAGGGGCAGGAGAATGAGATCTCCTTAGTCATCTTTTTATATATGCAGAAGCTTGAGCTGACCCCTGAAAACACCATTGAGAAAACATTAATTCAGAATGTAGGCTATGGTCACGACAATGTTTATGATCCTCTGTCCCTAAATGAATTAATGACACCTTCTTCTCTATCCATAAATTTATAAAATATTATAAATGGCAGTGACTTCAAGAATCCTCAAGAGGTTACAAACTGGTGTTGAGCAATCCACATTCAGTTGTTATTTTAAAAAATCTTGATTTCTTTTAACTTCTCTATAAAATACAGAAGATCTGGCAATATTGGCCCCACATTCCCAAAGTGCTTTTTCCAAAAAGTGTATGTAGTCCAGTCCCCGTGGACATGCAATGTCCTAATGGCAATTCACTTTACTCATTTCCAGTAACTGCCTCGTCCCAATAACTAACTTGCTTATAAACCCCAAAATTTAGTTAATTTAAAAAGCACATAGAACAGATCTGGGTGTATTCAGGATGGTATGGCCATTTGCAGCAACATGGATGGAATGTAGCCTAGTTACGTTAAGTGAAATAAGGCACAGGAATACACGGTCACACGCTGTCCCTCACATGTGGAAGCTGAAAGGTTGATCTCACAGAGGTAGAAGTAAAATGGAAGCTACTGGAACCTCAGAAAGTTGTGGGGAGGGTAATGGAAAGAGGATGGATAAAGAGTACAGTGGTGTGCTGAGATAGGAGGAATAATTTCTAATGTTGCATAGCACAATGGACTAAATATTTCAAAATAGCTACTAGGATTTTGAGTGTTCTCAATAAAGAGAAATAATAAATGTCTAATGTGATAGATATGACAATTACCCTGATCTGATCATTATACACTAGATATATGTAATAAAATGTCACAATGTACCCTATAAATATGCATAATTATTACATCAACTAAAAATAAAAATGTATTTTTAAAAGCTTTTTAAAGGAAACAGTAAATCTATTAACTATTCATTACCTAGTCTGAATAAGACAGAAAAGTGCAGGTCTCAAAGCCAGTTAGTAATAGGGTGGGAACTCAAACTCTGTCCTCAACTTGAAGCTTTCTAAATGAACTGTGGCCTCTGCTGACACTAAAATCAACTGCATTTTCTTTAGATAGAGGCTAATTAAGTTGTTATCTTCAAAGGAAATAATCTGTAGTTAAATCTATTTTTTTGAAAAAGCAGTTCCCATGCATTCACAGAAATATGCAAATACATAAAAATCTTTAAAGTTTCATCGAAGTTGAGAAAAACTTAAGATTATCTTCAATTTACTTCTCAATACATATTTTGCTTGTTTAAACTTAAACCCCTTGTTAACAAGATGGCTTTTTAAAGAAAAATTTTCAGCCTCCCTGCCTTTAGTTTCTTCTAATTCAAATCTAAAATTATCTTTTTAAAAAATACCCATGCCAACTGAATAACATGCTATTTTTATTAATAAAAAAAGGTAAATCGCATGATGTCTCTGCTTTAAAATGTCCTTGTTTCCCAATGCCTATTGCATGTCCAGCGAAGTCATTATGTCCTGAAAGCCCTCTCAGCTGGCCTCTGTCCCCTGCAGCCTCCCAGGACTTCCCAGCCTTCTGCTTTACTCTCCTGAATTGGTTCAGGGTTACTCTCCTCCACACACAGCAGGATTCCGAAGATGCAGCTCTTACATTCCCTCTTGCCTATAATCCCTGCTCTAAGCATAAAATATATTTTATAATATTAAAAACTAAATAAATTTAGAAAAACCCAAGAAAAGCACAGAAATTTTAAACTGGCAAATATCATAAAATTAATTCTAAGACATTTCACTTTCACTCACATCCAGTCATCAGTTTTATTCCTCTACCAAAGCACTGTGTTCCTAACTTACAACAGTGAGATGAGAAGGGCCAAGGGAAAACAGGCTCATGAGGTCTTCTGAGCCACCCTTGGAGGAGGAACAGCAGCAGAACTACATAACAGAATTGGGAAACTTCTTTCATTCTTGGCAATCTTTTCAGGATCTTTCCTTTGAGTCTTATTTGTTTTGTTTTGTTTTGTTTTGGTGGGGGGGGCAGGAGTTGTTTCATGTTTGTTCTTATTTGTTTGCTTCACTATTTCCACTAGATTTTATTTAGAATATATCTGATATCTGAGAGCCTGGTGTCCACAATTTGGCTACCAAATTGAGGCACACAGTGAACTCTGACCTTGGAAATAATATAATCTAATCCATCAAAGCTAAAGCTACTATGAACTGAAACATGTTAAGGTCATAAATAAAACCATCCATAGAAATAAGAAAAAAATAAGTCACTTCTCTTTTTGCATTTAATCATGTTGGTTCACGTTGGCCCACCTATGTGAAGGGTTCTCCTGAAGGTGCAGTGATTAGAACATACAAGAGCCCGCAAGTATTTCTGAACAATGTGTGAACTGAGAAGGAAAAAATACCTTGGGTAACATTTCACTAATTATATTCATAACTTTCACTTTTACTAACAAAATGATGATTAGTGGCTAATTTTTAGGCCATTAATTGATGGCCTTGTGATTAAAAATGTATATGTTAATCACACCTAAAAATGGAAGGATTAAATTAATGAAAAGAATGGACACTACTTTTTACATTTTGATAAATAAATACTGTAGAAAAAAAGTATATTGTGGGGAAAACTATAATTCCATAGTTGTGTTTTGTTTTTTAGTTGTAGTTTTTATAATAAATCTTTAGTATAAATATTTTTTAAGCAAAAGAACCTGGCTTTTAGTGAACCATTTTCTTGCTGATAATGAACACTGGTCATGAATGCAAAACCTTGCACATCATTATGTGAAACATTTATGCATTCAGAATGTCTACTTGGCGGTTTTCTTCTTAAGAAGCTAAACAACTCATTAAACAAGCTGCTCTTGAATGGGAGATCAGAACAAGCATAAGCTGCCTTCTGTAGAGTTCTGTTGTGAAGCTGTACCCATTTATGTTTTCTTTGAAGCCATAAAAATGAAACCCTTATGCTCATATTAAAAGCATAAGAAAGACATCTATTATGTCAATAGATTTAAAACAGGGCCTTAGACACAGTGAGAACCACTCCACACTGGCACTCTTATAACAGCAAAGGTTAAGAAGTACATTCCCAGGGAAAACTTTCAAAGCCTTACATATCATTATATCCAAAAACAGATGGCATCACAGTGTTTGGAACTATAGTTTATGGACACCTACAATCTCAAATAAATCCTTTCTAATCCTACTCTTTTGTCTAGGTTTTATACTTTGATGATGATTACAGGTAGCTTTTCTCTACTATATTACTGTATGTCATTCTGTGAAGAATGAAGATCCATGTACAAAGATGGACGCAATTCTTAATAAAAAGAACTTTTATACAATGTACAACCAAAATATTTTACTAGTAACAGTTTATCCCTTTAGAAATCCATCATTCCTAGGTTCCAATCTAGGAAACTCTAGTAGTCTGAGTTTTGGAGAAGAAAACATGAAAAACCTACTTCTCTCAAATGTTGTTGCAACTACAAAACTGACAAACACCACTTTTTAAAGTGATGTGGAGTTATCTACATCTATGTTTACACCCTGGAGAAACTCTCAAACACAGGAGATGAGTACAAGCACTCACAGCAGCATTGTTTATAATATCCAAAATTGCAAACAACCCTAAGTTCTGCAGAAAAATGGACATGGGAACTGCAATATACTCAGACAATGAAAATGAATGAACTACTGGTATATACATCAAAATAGATGAAACTCAGAAACAATGCTGAACAAAAGGGATAAGTCATAAAAAGCTATGTACACCTTATTTCCATTTATATCAAGTTAAAATCATGTAAAATTGAGCAATATAATACTGTTACTTAGGTCCAGTTGTAAATCCCCAGCCCTTTTAATCTAAAATTATACTGAGAAAAACTAAATCATATGAGTTGTGATGAACAGATTAAAGTAAAAATCTTCCATGATTATCTGTTGTAAATCCTATACATTGGCTAACTTTTTAAATTTAAATTTAGTTTACTACTAAAAAATACCTATAGACATTAATTTCTAGTGGATTCTTGTAGGTCAAAAGTTGTTTAAAATATCATATACTTCAAAATTTAAGATAGTCTATATGTTATATATAAAATCTAAAACTGTTGACCTCATAAAAGTAGAGAGTAGAAAGGTGGTTATTAGGAACTAGTCGGGGAGAAATACAGAGATGTTGGTCAAAAGATGTAAAATTTCAACAAGGTGGGAAGTGAGTTCCTTGGTCAAGAAACCTATACAACCCAGTGACTATAGGTAATAACAATGTACTGTATTCTTGAAAATTTCTGAGTAAATTTTAAGTGTTTTCACATCATAAAAGATATGAGATAATTTGTGTTAATTAATTTGACTTAGCCATTTCCTAATGTCACATATTTCAAAACAGCACATTGCACATGATAAATACATATTTATCAAATATGTATTTAAATATGCCAATTAAAAACAAATTAATTAAAAGTAAATATTTACAGGAAACATAAAGTCTAACCTACAAAATGATTTGAATAGTACCACAATCTAATTAAAGAGTTTTACTTCATAGTTTACCTGAAACTGCACAAGGCCTGTGAGGCTGTAGAAAAGAGTTACTCTTTAGTTCCTGTCTGTATATGAGATGTGGCTTGTTGTGGTCATCTTCCTGTTCACGCCCATCTGCCCTCATGATAGGTTCTAAGAAATATTCTCCATCATGTGTTTTAAATGTTCCCATCTGAAAAAAAAAAAAAAGTAAATGAAAGTTAGTTTTTTCCCAACAATCACTAGGATCATATGGTACCACAGGTTAAAATAGGCATACAGGGCAGGGAAGTAGCTCAGTGGTACAGCACTTGCCTATCATGCTTTAGGACCTGGGATCGATCCACAGAACAGCAAAATATTAAATAAAATTAAATTAAATGAGTGCACAGAAGTAAAAGAGGAAAGCCTGTTTACTAATTCTCATCAACTGAACATTAAGTTTCCTTTCCATGCCTCATTCTTCTGTCTCCACTCTTATGGAGATTAGACAATATGCTTATAGGCAGAGTTGAGAGGTATTCCAGATTACAGATAATAACATAAGGACCTCAAAAGGGAAAAGAAATCTAGAGTAGTCTATAAATAATCAACCTTGTTTGTTTTGGTCTACATAAGGTTACAGTGTGATACGAGGCTTTAAAAAGTAGGATGGGGTGAGATTGAAGATTCTGAATGTGGAATTTGGAATTTGTCTATCAGTGATAAGCAGCCACAGCAGAGTGATTACAAAGAATCCATCACTTCTGAACCCCAGAATCCAACACCAAACTTGCTAGTTGACATCTCCGTTTACAGAACATACCCAACCCTAACAAGTCTAAAGCCAAACATGGTATTTCTAGTCCCAGCCTGCTATTTTTGAAATGCTCTCTACTTCAGTAAATGGCCACAGTATTTTCATCCGTTGAGACCATAAAACCCATGTGAAAAATGAAGTTGGGCTCTTTCACCTTTCCTTCACATTGAATCTACCTATAAATTGATGCCTCAACCTTCAAAATATAACCAAAATCAGGCCGGGGATGTAGCTCAGTGGTGCCATGCCTGCCAGACAAGCGCAAGGTCCTAAGTTCAATTCCCGGTTTAAAAAAAAAAATTAAGTGACTACCTCCAAATTTTTACTACCATGTCTATGATCAAATAGAACATTCTTTCTTCTAAACATCAAATGCCTTTCATAATCTAATGTCCATACAAGAGCCACAATAATTCCTTTCAAGAGAGGAGGTCGGCAGAGGGAAAGGAGAATTAAAAATAATGAAAATGTATTATGTCCATGTACAAATTCCCCATGATGAATGTAGTCATTATGTACTGAAAATATGCACTAATAAACATTTTAAAAGAATCTAAGAAAGAGAAGCCTGAATCATGCAGTTATGCTGGAAAAAACAAAAATAAAACTAATGGCTATCCATGTTATTCAATAAAATCGAAGGTCCTTACAATATTTTTCGATTTTTCGTGTGTTCGGCCACCCCTCTGCACCACCTTATCCCTCCAACCACACACTGCCAAGAGTTCTACTTCTATCTTAGATCATCTTGGAGCTCTACACCTGGTGTCTTTGTTATTCCTAAACATGATAAGCACACTACATCTCAGGCCCTGTGCCCTGAGTACAATATTCTGCTCCAAGAGTTTCTCCCTGATGCCCCCCTGTTTCACTTGTTTGAGTACTCTGCTTAACATCAACCACCCTACATAAAATAGCACCCAACTTCCTACCTTTATTTCCTTTCTCTTGTTTCACTTTTCTTCACAGCACTTATCACTATTTGATATAATTTTATGTTTGTTACTTGTTTGATACTAGCTACTAAAATATAAGCTTCGTAACAGCAGGGCTTTGCCAATATTCTTCTCTACATGCTTGCCACATACCAGACAATACATGAGTATATATCAAATGTGGATCATTGAAACTGTAAATGTAAATGTGTGAAATGTAATCTAGTAAGACTGTATATTATGGATGGAAGAAAACAAACACTAACATCTGTAAGATAAAAGTATATAATCCAGAACAGAGCTAACAAAACCTGAATTATGGGAATGGTGATATCTAAGCAGTGGAAACAGAAAGGCTACAACATATCAGTGTCTGAGGGGAGCAGAAAAAGAGACACTAAGAAGGATAACTTATATTAGAGATAATTTTCTGGAAAGATAATTTCCCAAGAAGAATCCAGAAATATTAGAAATCCAAACAGATCTCTTCCTCCAAGAAATACAAAAAAAAAAAAAAAAAATGCCAGTTACATCACAAAAAAATCCTGACCTTGATTTCACAGAGGAATTCCATGAAACCTTCAAAGAGCAGATAATTCCATTGTCTTTAAACTGTTCCAAAATATAAAAACTAAAAAAAATTCTAAATTATTTCTATGAAACTAGGGTGAACTCACAGCAAAATCTAAGAAAGACAACAACAAGAACAAATACAGGCCAAGCTTATATATAAATATCCAGATAAAAGTATGACATTTTATTAGAAAAAAATCCAGCAACACATGAAAAGAGTAGTACATGACTAGGTAGATTTTACCATAAGAGTGTAAGTACTGTTCAGTATTAGTAATCTGTTAATATAATTTATTATAATCATTTATAAAATAAAATCATATGGCTGCTGATAAAATTTAATAAATATCCTTGATTTTTTTAAATCAGTAAAGCAGAAATAGATGAACACTTCTTGAACATGATAAACTATGTTATAACTAAAAGGAGAGCATTGTACATAGTGCAGACATTCCCATTTCACAAAGATGCTCTGTACTAGACAACAGAGCTAAATAAAAGAGATAAAAACATAAAAAATTAGAAAGGACACAAAACTGTCATCTTTCTACACTACACCAGTATATGCCTTAAAATAATAAAATTAACTGAAAACTATAAACATTAAACGAATTCAGTGAGCCAAATACATACAGGCATCAATAGATTTCATATATGCAAAAACAACAATTATATTATGGTAGAAACAATCCCATTTTTAAGAGAATAATGAATAACCAGGAATAAAACCAATAATAAATTTGTGAAAGCTCCTTAATGTTAGTGCCTCACTAGAGAAATAAAAAAGGACACAGACAAATTTGCAATATCCCTAATTAATAAAATTTCCCAAATGTATTCATAAATATAACAAGATCCCAATTTGGGGGAAAAAACACTAACAGATTTTTTATATTCAGACTATATTTGAGAAAATAAATAAAAGTAGTAAAGATAATTATGAGGGAACAAGGTGAGACTAGGACTACAAGATTTAAAACATTATAAAGTCACATTATAAAGTCACTCTAACACCTGAAAGGACAAACAGAGTAATAAATTGAATAGAAAAGCAAGTAATAAATCCTTCATGATACAGGATTTCCTATTGTATATGGACACATCTCAAATCAATAGCAAAGACAGAAAACATAATAAACAGAATTGCAACCAGTTCACAGACATCTAGAAAAGGTAAAGATCCATCCAAAGTAAATACCAAAGGATCAATGATGTACACTTTCTCAATAAAACCCTAAAAGCACCAAAACATAATTTGAGAACATTCTTTTATAAGTTTGGAAAAGAAAAGATAATTTTAACCATAACACATTAAAAAATGTCCACAATAAAATAAAGTTTCTACTCGGTATAAACACATACTATAGCAAGTCAAAATATAAATGATAATCAGAATATTGAATATTCACAATTCAGATGACCAGCAAAGGGATTGTGTCTCTAAAGAAGAATTCTTTCTCTAAAATACTATTTAAACTCTAAAAGGTATACTTAAATTCTCAAAGTTCATAAAAAATACTAGCATTCAAAGGAAAAAATGAGGAAAGAATGTTAATAGACATTTCATCCCCTCCCCCAAAAGCAGGAAGAATGTTAAACTTTTCTCAGGATAAAGAGAAATTAACACTGAACTAAGAAACCATTTTCACCTATGGGCCTGGGAAAAACTTAGAAGTTGTACAACCTACTCTAAATGTATGTCTGTGGAAAAATAGCCACTTTCATATATAACTATTGAAAGTATAAATTAGTATAATCATTGTCTGAACCAATTTGGCAATATCTATCACAATTATCAATTCATTTTCCCTTTGATGCAATAATTCCCTTTCTGAAAATTTATCCTACAAACCCTACACATTTGCATATATGTAAAATAACATATTTACAAAATTATTGCCTACAGCATTGCTTTGAGTAGCAAAATACTGAAACTAATTCAAAATTGCATTGATAGAATCTGTTTACATATATTATGCAAACAGGCACACAATAGATTTCTTGTGGTTAACACAAACAAGAGTAAATATTCTATACTGTATATGGAAAAAAAACTTCAATGCACATTATTAAGCCCCCCCCCAAAAAACCCTAAAAAGCAGGATGTGTATCTCACTATGATTTGTGTATTGAAGGAAGAAAATCAAAAACTAAATATTTCCATTTGCCTGGTTACTTAGTAGTAAAGAAAATCTAGAAGGATTCATTAGAAACAAATCAGGTGGAAATAGAATACAAAGAAGGCTGCAGAATGAACCAGGTAAGATACCCTTCTTGCCTCAGATACTTCATATACACTGTTTCCACTGACCAAAATATTTGCTTATTTACCACTCTTCACCTCATCCCTCCATTATATCATGTTCAGTTTGGCCAACTCTATCTTACCCTTTAAGCTTAAATAGAAATTACTCAGAAAGTTTTCCCTTGAACAGGCATCTAAGGAAACCACATATATACCCCTCCTCCTGAAAATACATCACATCTGCCAGATTTCCTCAGTACATTTTATCATATGTTGTATTTATATATTTGTTTCCTATTTATGACTACACGAGGTAATCAAAAGATACAGTGAAGGTTTAAATTTTAAAAACTTATTTCAGTAAAGAAACGCTGACAAGAATGCTGGTATAAAAAGTTTGAAGTGAGGGGCAGTATTTTGAACATTTTGAGGGGGATTAATGGCAATGTGTCTTTCACTATATTAAATTTTTAAATTTAAACATCCATCGTATTTTATGTTCAACCCTCATTGATCAAACATTTACAGCACTTATCAAATACAAACATTATGGTGTGTTTTCATCCACCTTATTCACCAGATCTGGCACCATAAGGTTTCTGGCTCTTCCCCAAAGTCAAGTGAGTATGAAAGGTAAATAT